TACTAACATGTTTTATATTTATTATCTTGTTCACTCTTTAATACTTTGCTTGTTAAATGACTAATCTTGATTTATGTTGTATAACACTTGGTACAACAAATGCTTGGCACTTTCATAGCCCATAATGTATGGTATAACCGACACCTGAGCTATGAAAGGAACTTGATTTGTTGTTAACATAAGTTATAATCATGAATGCTTGACGAGATTTACAAGTATTAGCATTAATTGAATAAGATGACTAATGTAATCATGTTAACAATATATAATCTGATTGGAACCTCCTTTGTGTGTGGTTTCCATTTCAATAATAAGAGTTTATACTATACTTGTTTGATATACCATTAGTGGAACCTCTAACCTTGACATTTGTTATTATTATTGTTTAATCCTTACATTAATTTTCCACCTCCAAGTTCTCATCATCTTCTTCTTCTTCTCTTTCTTTATTATTATTATTATTATTATTACTACTACTATTATTATTATTACTACTATTATTATTATTATTATTATTATTAGTATTATTAGTATTACTATTATTATTATTATTATTATTATTGTTGCTGTTGTTGTTGTTGTTGTTGTTGTTATTGTTGTTGTTATTGTTGTTGTATTATTGTTATTTATAATTTGTACAAATAACCTCCCTGTGGTTCGACCCCGGTCTTGCCGGGTTATTTATTACTTCGACACTCCTGCACTTGGGAGAAGACATCAATCTTTTAGTCGTGTCATCCTGTTTAATTTGTTTCAACATAACAAACAAGGTCATATCTTTATGACTACCTCACAATTGAGCAAGGTCCGTAGCTCTTGAAACACATTATTATTACCCTAATTTTCGCGCAACATAAAAGGCACAAGATTGAAATATCCAATTGCCCTAATCAAATGAACATATAATTGTTGTCCACAATAATCCATATATGATTTTGAACTTGACCAAATTGCTTTCCATGTAAATAAGGTGGTCAATAATTTTATGGAATAGCTCAATCCACTTTTCTTTTGTAAATAATCGTTAATTAATATTTATAAACTCCTATAAAGGTTTTTGGTTCACCTACTAATGTAATCTAAATATTAATTATCACATGATGATATGACTAACCATCCAAATACATAAAAACTATACACAACAACACATAGTTTAAGACTAATCAAACTTGATGCTGAGAGAAATAGCAGTAGCCTAAAAATACCTAATGCCAATATCTGAGTCCTGCTAGTAAGCCATCTTGGTCTTTTAGCTTTTTATTCAATAAATCTTCTCATGTCTTCTAATTTTAACTTCTAGCGCCTGACTTCTCCCTTACTTTACCCATCTTTTCATTAGTATTCAAAAGCTTTGAAATCCTTCGAATGGCCATGTTGTGCTGATTATAGTAACAGACAATGTATACAAAATAAGGTATTTGTAGTAATTGATGATATTCTTCAATAGTGGGTACCATATCAATTGATTCAAAGGTGAAGCATTGATATGATGGGTCTTAAAATTATGTCATAATGGCTAGCTTTTAATAAGGTATCTTTAAAACTTTTTCCAAGTTTTCATACTTTTATCGAAATACATGTTTATCGTGAATCTCTAGGTTTTCTGAACATATCTAAAGTTTGTTGATTTTACTATTGAAGAGCACATACCTCATAAAAGGTAAGTTACCAATTGATTTATGGCTTAGACAATCCTCCTTTTATGGTTGTAAAGATTCTGATTCTTGTTGGAATTACTCTTGATTATAGTTTATAATTTTGACTATTTTGTCACCTATTTCTAAAATATTATAATCATATTTTAATATTAAATTCTTGAATTCATATTATAAGGAGACAACCTAGAAAATGATTTTAGTCATTATATGTGGATAGGTTGACTAACATATTAATCTTCAAAGGATACCTTGTTGCTTAGGTAATCAAACTTAAAAAGGCAAACTCGAGGCCTAAAAGGTACATATAATATAAACAAGGAAAAACTTAATTAGCTATTAATTGTGACCATATAGACTTTCAAACAAGAGTATAAAGTTTCATTAGTGCTAGTATAAGGTATAACTTATTAGGGCACCACCAATTCTCCAATGCTAACTTAACCAAAGTATATAAAAAATAAAGTATCATATAATGAAAACATGTGAGCAAACCAATATTTTGAGTTTATTAATTACTAGTAAAGGAAAATTCACAAATATCATACTACCCTGTAAACTAAAATTTCATTACCTTAATAGGCTAGTTAAAGATGAATAAAAAGGGTATGACAAAACCACAAATATAGATCAAAACATAGCACAAAAAATTAGAAAGTATCATGGTGCGTCATTCTTTTTTCCCTTCAATCAAACTACCTAGGCAATAGATTGCTATGAAAGATGTCTCTTCATGTCTTGATGGGTCGTGCTTTAAGGATGGTTAAGGATCACTCACTCTAGCTCATTTTACTCTTTGCACTCTCTCTAAAATTGCATCATGCAACATGTCTGACTCCCCTCAGATTATCTGTGATAAATGGATAAAACCTCAGACAATAATTGACAGAAACCTTAACAACACATTGTGCAGAAAATTATGAGACACTCTCTCTCACACACACACATAAAATGATAATATATTCGAAAGGTGTGAGTGTTTACATTAAATTTCAAAAGATGTATGGTTATAAAATAAAATACAATTTAAAACTATAAAATGATAGAATGGAACAGCTAAATAGCAATAAATTAGCTTTTACAAATATGCCATGTTGAAGGGTACTTTTCAAAAGATAATTGTTATTTAATTATTCAATGATTACAATAAATATTTGTAAAGGTCTGAAATATTTAAATAGTGAAAGATAAAATGCAATTTTTAAGTTGAAGCCCTCATTTCTTACTTATGTAATTTTTGTTTTGAAGAAAAAATATTTTTTTTATTAACAATGTTGTTTTCTAAATGTAAATCCAATATAATTAAAATGAGTATTTCTAAGAATCCAAGAAATTTAAATAATGAAATGAAAAAAAATATGTCTTGAAGTGATTATTTTTTAATAAAAACATATTGTTTTTATTAATAACATGCTTTTTAAGCAAAAACTCATCATGCTTAAAAACAAATATCATCATCATAATTTTTAGGTGACTATATACAAAACAAAAAAAAATCATTAAAACAATATAAAAATTAACAATCACAATATTGTTTAATTATCATTGAATATTAATGTGAGAATTCTTTTTTGCATATTAGTCTCATATATAATTGTTAAAAAGTGATTGAAAATATAAATATAAAATATCTAATTTAAATTAAAAAAAAGTGCTAGATTATTAGATTGCACTACTCTATTTTTTTAATGTAAAAAAGAATGTCCAGTCATTTTTTATATGAAAAAATAATTTTATCATGAACTCAAAATATAATGTATGCTGAATGATAGTTTTTTAAACTATTAATACGGCTACATATTGTATGATATTAGTTTTCAAATATTGAGATGATGACATATTAGATCGACCTGAGTTAACCTGTCAAATATGCTACTCAGTCATGAGACCATGATAACAATGTAAAAAAAATCAAAATAAATTATCAAAGACAAATTCTTAATTAACCCAATATTAAAGGATAAAATTGAAAGAAAAAAAAACACCTACTCGGGTTAGCTTGCTAAACGCCTAACCTGGATTATAAAATTGAAATAACCCTATTGAAAGAAAAAAAAAAGCATGAAACCTACTTTTTAACTAACCGTTTAATAATAAAATAAAAAAATAGATAAAAAAACAAATTAAGTCAACCTAGTTTAATATATTAAACTCGCAATCTAAATCATAAAACTGAGGTAATTTTATAAAAAAAAAATGTAAAGCTCTATTTCCAATAGATTCAATTTTGAAAGTTGAAATTAAAAAAAAAAACTAAATTCACAAGAATGAGATAACTTCATAAAAAAAATTATGAAATTTAATTTTTAAAAAACCTAATATTAAAAGATGAAATTGAAAAAAAAATTCTAAGTAAAAAAAAAGATCAAGTTGTTGGATGGTAAAATTAAAAATATTAATAAAAAAAATTTATGAAACACAATTTCTAAACAACTCAGTGTTGAAGAACAAAATAAAAAAAAAACAATTAAAAAAAACAACTCAAAATAAAAATAATTTAGGTCAACCTAGATTAACAAGTTAAATTTGTAACATAAATCATGAAAATAAAATAAATTTATAGAAAACAATAATTTTTTTTATAAAACTCTACTTATAGATGTAAATGTTGCACACAAAATCCTTCCATTGATCGTAAACACCAGGTTGTGCTTTTAACAAATCATTTTTCACAAATATGTAGCCCTTCTGTGAGGTCAAATGATTGAGCAAAACAGGGCATTCAATTTTAGAATTGAGACATATAAAATTCAAGCATGCAGGTGGTATTTGGATTTAACTAGCAAGGAGGCAAAAATATTGTTCTTTTGGGAAATCTCAGTTGGCATATGGGAATGATTCTTATTATAGAATAAATACTTATCTAATGATGAGAGATCTCCATCACCTCCCTCCTCAGCCCACCTCTTCTACTTGGAAAATTACCTGTAAAGCTTGTAAATGATTAAAAAAGGATTTTGCATGGTAATTTGGGAGTGGTTCACAGGAGGTGCTAGTGAAGTTGGTTCCTTCTGGCCTATCTTTTGAGGCTTGCCTCACTGTCTATTCAATCACTTTTATAATTATGGTTTTTATGTTAAAAAAAGGATTTGAAAAGGCTTATATATTTAATTTTTTATTAAAAAAATTACTAAATCACGGATTAGATATATTGTTTTGGGTTAAAATCATTTAATTGTTTTGTAATCTGCTCTTGTAATGTTTAGATTACAACATGAATGGTACAAATATAAATTTAATACTTAAAAAAAATGAAAATGACTTATTTGAAGGCTTGTTTATTTCATTGATAAAACATTATTTTTTTAACATAATTCAATCTTAGACCAGGTAGAACAAATTCAATTAATTCAAAGTCGGGTTCTTCCTGACCACAATAGGACTCTTAACACGGTGCACACCATCTGACCATGTGAGCCCTCCAAACACGTAAGAACTGCTATACCAATCGTCCGTAGCCTTCAGCATGACCTTGAAAGTTCTCTCTTCATTTAGCTTGCTGAATTTCAAACTCTCTGGTTCTACCTTAACTAATATTCCATCAGGCATCTTGACACGAACTGTGTATAATCCTGGAGTTCCCACGTTCTTTAAGATTCTAGTCAACGTGACATTTCCCGAGAGATTAGGGACGGTAATCGAAGGATAGTTGAAATTCAACAAACTGATATTCTTTGGTGGGCAATCATATGGCTCTTCGTTGAATATTGACATCTGGGTTGCATTATAGCCGATGGAGCACAGAAAATTCAAGTAATCCGTGGTGGTTAAGTCATAGACCAACCCTGGATCCATCGCGCGGTTTGGCCGCAGATGTCCTGAACCATAGTTGAAGGGGGTTGCCTCCGCAGCAGAAGCTTTGGGTATTGGCTGTCTAGCATTGCTACTCGTTCTAGCTGGAACATCAAAAGTTTTGTTAGTATGTTGAATTTGAAGATAAATAAAATCATAATATAGAAACTATAGCGGAGAGCCGACATATAGAAGCTGAACTACCGGTGGTCATGATTGCTGACTTAATCGCGGCTGGACTCCAATCAGGGTGCATGGTTTTGAGAAGACCAGCAATGCCAGAAACGTGGGGGCATGACATTGAAGTCCCAGATATAATGTTGAAGGAAAGAGGGCGCCGGTCTATAAGCCGAGATAAACGCCTTGGTGCTTTTGTATAGGCAGCTAAAATATGGACTCCTGGTGCAGTGATGTCTGGCTGGAATTTTTATCAAAATTTTGATGTTAAGAACACAGAGAGGCATTTCTTGTCTCAAAGGCCAACAATTGAAACATTTAGTTATGAACACAGAGAGGCATTTCTTGTCTCAAAGTCCAACAATTGAAACATTTAAATCAAAATAACCAATCATAGAATAGAGAAAAATCCTGTAGCATACCTTGAGGATCTCTGGTGTAATTTCATTTGGTCCAGTTGATGAAAAGGGAGCCATGACTGGTGCAACCACTTTTCCAATTTCAGTAGAGCCACTTATATAAGCTACCGGTGACCTGAAAAGACAAAAATATATTGGTTATATACTGACTTGCTACAAGATTTGAAAGATCGAAACCACTCAATTAGTACAGAGAGCTAATTACTTTGTGCTGTGGATGTAAGATAAAACGGATAGACCATCAATTGCTGAGACAAGTGAAGTAGGAACAAAGAAACCTCGAGGACTGCTTGAACTGTCTGCAAATTGATGAGCGAGGATCATCCCAACACCACCAGCCTGAGCAACCACCAAGCTCTGCTCGACATCAGGTATCATATCACCAAGACAATACACAATCTTTCCTCTTACCTTTGTTGGGTCAAGGGATTCAGGATAACATAGTTGTCTGCCAATCACAAATGCATAAGGATATATATACATATATGCTCAATTGAATAGCCAATAAGTCAACATGAATCGGTTGCTTACGCAAGTTGAGCAGAGGCATTTGCAGCTTTAGCATCCACGGAATTAACTATAGGATAATACTTCCTAGCTGACAGGTTATTGGTGTTAAAGCTCGTGCCCTGTTTATAAGCGAATTCCAAGAATCAAGATATAATGATACAATTGACCTATGTCAGTTGCTGTAGAGTGTAAATGGGACAGCTTTCTTGTTGTTCATATGGTAAACATAAGAGTTAATTGACTGGATCATCCAGTATACTAACCTTGAATTCCTTGTTATTTCCAAGGACAACATTGGATGGAAACTCCCGATCAATTGTGCTAGCCGCAACGGTGAGAACCCACGGGGCTACATTTGAAGCTGTTCCGAAGCCAAAGCCTTGTCCGGAGTTCCCAGCCGAGCAAACTACAAGAATTCCGTTCATAACAGCCTGAAAAGATCCAATTGCAATACCACTTCTGAAGTAAGGGATCTCAAGTGCCCTTCCAAGTGAAAGGGACAAAATGTCAACCCCATCTTGAATAGCAGCGTCGAAGGCAGCCAATATATCAGCATCATAGCATCTCGGCCAGCACACCTTGTATGAAGCAACTCGTGCATTAGGTGATCCTCCTTTTGCTGTCCCGTAGGCTGATCCTAGGAAATTGGCACCTGAAACAAAGCGACCACCAGCTGTAGATAGAGTGTGGGTACCATGACCATCAGTATCTCTTGCGGTGTTATTGGACGAATCAAGTGCACGGCCTAGAGCTGCTTCATAACCCTTGTTGAAGTACCTTGCTCCGATCAACTTCCTGTAAGTAATTACATTGATTTCTTTTTTTAGAACTTGTATCAACAAGCCTTTTTCACTGTTCTTAGCAATGTTAGAGAGCAGGCGAAGAAAGAAACCTGTTGCATTTAACCCCATCATTTGTTTCACAGTATCCTTTCCACCTTGTTGGAATTGGTCCCATTCCTTCATCGTCGAAGCTCTCTGATTCTGGCCAGACACCTATCAATAAACCACGAATTAATCAAGAGAGAAAATTAAGATTTTACACAAATAATAAGAAGAAAAAATGAAAATAAAAGTGGACCATTCAAAAGCAGTTGCCGACCAGTGGACAGCTTAATGAAACATTCTGAAGATGATGCACATTAAGGGCAGCCGCAACGAGGATTTAATATTAACGTTCTAGAGCTAATAAAATACATCAAGGGTATTCTTTATAGACCATTCAAAGCTGAAGCTCGCTTGTCCAAGTATGAAACAAAGCAGTAGTGATTATGAAACTAATAAAATACGCTTTTCCAAGTCAAACACAAGTAAGATTACCAGTGTCAAGATTTCCAATAATGACGTCTTCACCAAATCTTGCCTTTAACCAGATTGAATCAGCCGGGATTTGTCCATTTCTCTCTAGTCCAAGAAACTCCCATGACCGAGTTGTATGCAACTGATTTACTTCATTTGGAAAAACTGATACAACTTCCGGACGGTCTACAACGATAGGAAAGAACAGAAAACAATCAAAGATCCGAGTACATATTAGACTGTGAAATGAAGCAGAAGGAATGACAATATCATCAGCTTGCCATGTTTTCGTACTCGATAATTGATCCACTTCATCATCTTCAAGGGTTGCAGCAAAGCCATTGATATGACTTGTGTACGAATAAAATATTGCTTCTTTAGCTTTCTCCTTGCTGTTTAATTCACAATTTATCAGTACAACAATGGAGATGGAATATTTATGAAATTAGTTGTCATTACCTTTTCAAACATGAACCCAGTAGATCATAGTAGGACTCGGTCATTCCATCATTCCCCAAGGTTGAAGGTTTAGAAGTGTGTGAATTTCTCCCGAGATACACCACATAAGACTGAACCATGGAAATCATATAAATATTATCACTGGAAAAATAACAGAAAACATGCATAGTATCCGAGAGTAGGTTTTAACACTACGGTGCTTAATTCCATGCTCTCTAGCGCCCTCTTGTACATGTCAAAACCTTGGCATATACTCAGAACTTGGGCTTAATTTATTTTGATCATGGCAAGCAAAAGCATTGCATGAGTATAAAAGTAAGCAAATGAGAAAGCAAAGGACATGATGATCAAAGGTCAAGAGGGATACTTGCCTTTTTCACCGCTAATATTGGACTGATCTGCAGAAAGGACAAAAGGGAGAAAAGAAGCAACAGAGAAGAAATAATCTTCATATTTCCTATACTTTCTTTTTGCTATACAAATGAAAGGCTGCTGATTCTACCCTTTATATAGGATCGTTATCTGAAAATTATCTACGAAAATGTCTTCGTAATTAATGAAATTAAGCGTGGATGAAGTTTTCAGATGTTATTACTGGTCAATAAATGATAATTAAGTTCTGCTGCTTAGTGACGTCGTCAGATTAATAGTATATTATTGCAAGCAATGCAATAGAAAATATCAGGATTTGAGCAAGTCCAATCATATGACCCTGTAAGTGAGTAGAAAATGTCTGCGTTGGCGACTAGCGAAATGTATCAAGACATGCTTTATTATTTTTAGTACAAGCTACCTTTCAGGCATTTATTAGGTTAAGATCAACAGGGAAGTTTCCAAACTCTTGAAGTGGGGTATCCTGTCCTTTCCAGAATTTAAGATCCATGACAGGGATAATTAATTCTACACATCCCTTTCCCGAATGAGATCAAGGTTGATGCAACAAGTAAAGGACCTGTCATCTTGGCCAGTGCCCTACTTGGTTTTTTTTCTCCTTAAATCTTCTCGGTAAGGGGATGAAGGAAACAGATCAAGACAGAGTCAAACATTTAGAAAGGAAGTTTAATATGAAAATTCAACAGGGAAGATGAAATTAGTTCCATCATGCAAGATAAGAGCTTATTAATGTCCAATTAGAAAGATCGTGAAGTGTGAAGAAAATCTCAGGTTCAATTTTTAAGTGTACCATTACACGCTGTTGGAGTCCATAAAAAACTATTTTTAAGTATCCACCAACAATTTAATTTTTCTATTATATATATATATATATATTCGATATGGTATTAAAAGTCTAGATAACGAAATAGAACAAAAGATAATATTCAATCTGTGAAATTTAAATGTAATATATATTTTGAGTTGGTAATTATAGTTCTTTGCTTCACATGTCATGAGGAATGTTTAACATGTTAATTAATATAGAACACTGTCACAAAATTATCAAATATAAAGAAAAAGAAAAACCGTAATTAAATTAGGTGACATGTAGTAATAGAACATAATCTCGTTATTTTTGTTAGTAAATACCAAAAGAATTACAAGTGAAAATTAAAAAAAAAAAAAGAGATCCTCTTATATTTTCTCAAAAAATATTACATGTCAATATTACAAATAAAATTATCAATTAAATATAATCATTGTTAATAATTATTAGTGAATGTCTTTGTAATATTTAAGTTATAATCCTTTTTTTCATTTTTTTCTTCTTCTTCTTTTTTATGCAGAAAAAACATTTTTTTTATTTTATTACAAGCTTTTATCTTCGTAAATCCAACTATCTCTCAACTATGTTCATGTTTTAGTTTAATTTTTTGAGTATTCTTAATATCAAGTAAGCAAATCTAAATTTTTTTTCCCTCTCATCCATTGTGTTGTCGATCCCTTTTAATAGTGTGAGCTTTTGATTATTTTTTTTTATCATCATAAAATATTATTTAAAGTGTGCACGTGTATATGATTATGTTTATACCGTAATGTTTAAGAACCAAGGAGAATGTTACAAAAACATTAAAAAATCGAACTGAAAACAGAAAAAAACAAGGAGAAGATGTACGCAAAATTAAAAGCTTTTGAACATGATTAGTTGGAGAGTAGCTTTTGCTCAAAGGGTGCAGTTTCTTGAAGACTAGCCATAAATAGGAAACTTGGAGTGCTCAAAGATGATTCATAATTGAGCGCCCTCCGTTACCGCTTTACTCGTTGGGGAAAAGTACAAATTCCATATTATTTTAAATAGGTTTTAAAATTCAAGATATTTAAAAATAAAATTAATTAATTCAATAATTAATTAATTTTATAGTCTAAACAATTTAATTTATTTTTTAATTAATGATAAAAAAAAACCTAGGTAATTGATGATAATAGGTGATACCAAATAAATCAAAATGATCAATAGCTATGGTAGTACTAGATAATGTCTAGTAAGCCAAAGTGATCTAATAAATTATGTTTATTAATTAATACATGTGAAAGATCTGATTTGATGAATATGAGAATTCTCTAATAATAAAATTAATAAATTTATAATAAAATTAATAAATTTATAATAAAATTAATAAATTTATAGAGAGAAAATATGTAATTATATTTTATAGAGGTAGATTCTAAAAATATTTATGCTGAAAATATTAAAAATGAAAAGATTATAAATCTTGTCTTTAAAAAATTCATGAAGTATTTATAACTCACGAGTTTTTATTCTTTTGTGAAGAGAATGAGGTAAAATTTAATTTTACTTTTATAATATTTTAAATTGAGTTGTATTTTATTTAAAATAATATATATTAAATTAATATAAAAAGTGAGATACTTGCATGAGATCCTGAAAAAATTTCTAAAAAAGTTAGACTCTAACAAGATATCTAAATTTATTAAAAATAAGAACCCATTAAATCATGCTCCTTCACTGGAAAGAGCCCAGGAACATTAAGGGGGTGTTTTAGAATGGTTTTTTAGATCCATTAATTTTGAGTTTATCAATTAGAAAAAGTCACTAATATCCTACTCCCTTGTAAACTGAAAATTCATTACCTTAATAGGCCTGTTAAACATAAACAAGTTACGACGAAACCATGAACCATGGCGCAACAAAATAGAAAGTATTAGGTGTATTGTTCTTCTTTCCCTTCGATCACACCCTGTCCAAGCACTTTGAACAGATTTCTATGAAAGATGTCTCTTCTTGTCTTGATAGGTCGTGCTTTCTAAGGATGGCCAAGGATCACTCACTCAATAAATCATTCTATATCTTGCACTCTCACTCTCTCTAATTAATTGCATCATGCAATATGTCTGACTTCCTTAAAATATCTATGATAAAGTAGATAACACCTTGGTTAGTGATCAGCAGAGAGCTTAATAACAAGCGAGCGCACACACAAATAATAGCATAATATTCCTATAACATTCTTTTTATACAATTAGATGTGAGTGTTTACACTAAATTTCATCAGATGTAGGGTTATAAAATTAAGAAAATACAATTTAGAACTACAAAGGGATACAATGGGATAGCTATATAGTCATAAATTAGCTTTTACACTTGTGCCATGTTGAAGGGTATTTTTCAAAAGATAATTTTTATTTAATTATTCAATGATTACAATAAATATTTGTAAAGGTCTGAAATATTTAAATTGTGAAAGATAAAATGCATTTTTTAAGTTGAAGCCCACTTTTCTTATTTATGTATTTTTTGTTCCGAAAAAAATATTTTTTTATTAACATTTTTTTAATATAAATACAATATAATTAATTAAAATGAGTATTTGTAAGAATCTAAGAAATTTAAATAATGAAACGAAAAAAAATTATTTCATGAAGTGATTATTTTCTTAATGAAAACATATTTTTTTATTAATAAAATGTTTTTTAAGTAAAAATTCATCATGCTTTAATATATATATATATATCATCATAAAAACAAAACAAAAGAAATTCATTAAAACAATATAAAAATTAGCAATCACAATATTGTTTAATTCTCATTGAATATCAATGTGCGAACTCTTTTTTATATATTAGGCTCATATATAATTGATAAAAAAGTGATTGAAATATAAATACAAAAGATCTAGTTTAATTTAAAAATAATAAATTATTAGTTTACGCTGTTCTATGGGTCAAATTGTTTTTTTAATGTAAAAAGAAATATCCAAGCGTTTTTTCTATAAAAAAAATAATATAATCATAAATTCAAAATATAATATATATTTAATGATATTTTTAAAAAAATATATACAAGAAAATATAGTACTTAACAGGTAAACCTCAGGTCTAAAAAAGAAAAAGGGAAAGGGCGTGTGCTCCTAGAGAAGCCATTCAATGTTTAAAAAAAAAAAAACACTAAAAATTGCAGCAACAACGTGTTATTAGTTGCAACAATTCTCCATCCACCTCTACTTGTGAAAAAATTGAGCTTGAGTTTTTTTTTTTGGATCGAAGCTCAATTTTGAACCCATTTTAGCCATAATTCTCTTTCTGAATCTGCTTTTTTATCGAGGATGGTTAAAGAGATTGAATTATCATCTCCGAGATAAATTTATTAATATTAAAATTAATTTTTTTGATGATCTATTTTACGATAACTTTCTCTTTCATCTTTTAGAATCTGGTGACCGGAAAACAATGAAAATAAAGTTTAAAGACAAACATATAACTATAAAACTCCAGGTACCAAGTCATGAGAAAACAAATACTTGAGAGACAAAAGGTAATGTTTCAATATCACTGTAGCGCTACAGTGACAAGAAGAGTGCATTCTATCCTGTTATTGCTTGAAGTATTGTATAATTTTCTATAACGACCCGTAGCATCGTTTCTGGGGCAGAAGTCATTTTATTTCTTGGAAGCGGAAGAGATGAAATTTGATGTGAATGTTCTACACAAAATCCTTCCATTGTTTGTCAACACCATGCGGAGCTTTTTAACGAATCATTTTACAGTTTTACATGTAAAATTCAAGCATGGAGGTGGTACTAACAACGAGGCAAAAAATATTGTTCTTCTGGGAAATCTCAGGTGGCATACGGGAAAAATTCTTATTATGGAATAAATTCATATCTCATGATGAGAGATCTCCATCACCTCCGTCTTCATTCCACCTCTTCTACTTGGAAAATAACTTGTAAAGCTTGGTACAGAATTAAAAGAGGATTTTGCATGGCAATTTAGGAGTGGTTCACAGGAGGCTCTAGTGAAGTTGGTTCCTCCTTGCCTATCTTTTCTTTTCGAGGCTTGCCTCAAGGTCTCTCATATCATCTCTTCGTTATGGGACTTTCATATCATGCTGCTAAAGCTTCTGATCTGCAGGTGAAAGTCATGGCTATTAGACAGGGTCTAGATCTAGCCTAGAAAAGGTTACACTTGATTTACGGAGGGCGACTAAAGCACACTTTAAAGAAAGGTAAATATGTCTTTGCTGATATATATGGCCATGCTAGGATCTTTTTCAAATGAACTCCTGCGTTCTTTGG